GTCAAAATATTGAGACCGCCATTTATTCTGCCGCACCCGTTATATATAGATTCCCTTAATAAACTTATGTTTTCTAATAAAGTAAAATAAATTTACAATATAGATTATCATTTAATTGATAGTCATAATCAATGCTGTTACTGTCATCACTTTCTAGTACATCATCATCCTAGATAACGTATGCATAATATGATAATTGCTTAAATATTCTAAAAATAATGAGTTTTTGTTTGAATGTTATGAAAAATCCGATGGTTTGTTCACAAACAAACATAAGTCGCTTTGTTAAAGGAATTTTCGCAAAAAACAATAACTTTATCTTTTAATTCAACTGATAAAAGCGTAATGAAAAGTTTATCATGACTTATTTTTAGTGTTATAAATTAATTCATGTTTTTTTGTTTCTGGACATATTTTCGTATGGTACAACTCTAAGCGAATAAAAACTAAGACAATAGAAATATTCTTTTTTTTCTTCTTCCTTTCTCTCTCATACCTTAACTGACATGCATGAAGCCCGAAATATTATTTATTCTTTCCTTTTCTACACGCAAAAAACAAGAAGAAACTATATCAAATGAGAACATCTCGTATTTTTCAAGTATTAAAAAAAAATACTTACTAAACAAAGAAAACTTTCAATATCTCTGTCATGACAGTATGATCATGGACAAATGAATATTTATTAATGTTCTGCAAGGTGTAAGTGCGAGAGAAGAGAAGACCAGCAGTCCAACCACATCCACATTCTCAAGCAAATAGCAACTATAACGCATTGAGTTTGTTGTATTGCTCGCGTGTCTTTTTATTCTCATTTGTGTACTTTGTCTCCAACAGTAACTAGTAAAGAAGAAAAAACTAAAATTTTTTTTTCTGTTCGAGATGCTGAAAAAAATATATAGAATAAGCAATCATGAAGCTTATACATCATTTAAAAAAACGACTGCCTATGGATTCCATTTGACACTGCATCATTGAAAGCAGCCATTCTTTCATCACTGATTCATTAACTTTCAGCTAAGTAGAAATTTATCAGATTGTGTGGATAGGTATCAGAGATGAGCAGAGGGCAAGGAAGTCCTACTGTCGTGGTGTTCTGTACTGCCATCAGCCAGAAGACAAGCGACTATCAGGGGCAGAGCAGAACAGGACAAACAAAGTTGTCCTGTGCTCATCCTGAATCAAGTATATTCATGTTTATCGAAATTATCTTTTCCTGTCATGAACATGTTATTAATAATTAAAAGTCTAGTGTAAAACTTTATATACGAAACTGAGTATTCTTTTGAATTCAGATAATTCTATCAATTACAGAGAGAAAAATATGTATTTTCAGTGATTAAAAAATGAAACACTTCATTTTGCAAAACTCATCATTTAGTAAATGTTAATTTTTTTTTGAACATTATGTTTATTCATAGCTACGATATGAAACTTCGTTTTTCTAAGCAGTGTTGCTAGTGCGAGGTGTTAAGATGTCTAACAAAACTATCGAATGAGATTTTGAGTAGTCTATTCATATACGATATCATCCAAAAGAAAATTTTTCAATGATACTATAGACAGGATGTCGAGAAAATTGAAAGTGAGGACCTTCTTTGAAATTTTGCTCATAAATAATTCTAATGCTCCTTAGAATATTCATCTAAAACGAATATTTTCCTCTCAAGGTACAATATGACGAAGAAAAGTTAACCTTCTAAGA